ATGAGCTCTGTTCCACTTATATGTGATTTTTAAGTCATCAAATTAAATATTTATTGATAAATAATTCTAATAATGTACTCTGATCATATTTATATTATTCACATAAGTAAATAGAACTTCTTTTATTCATAATTTTTATATTATTGACAAATACTATTGGTTGTCGATCAATCACAAAGACAATAGTAAAAGACACTCAAACAAGCTACTATAATATCATGTTATGGTAAAAAAACTTAAAATTATATAAAAGTAATATTTTAATATTTTTTTTTCAAACTTCTTATTATAACTTACTACTATATTAATAGAAATACTGACTAAAAATAAATTAAGCACCTCTTAAAACAAGTTAGGCACCTCTTAAATTAAGTTGGCACCTCCTAAAACCTTGACCTAGATCCCATACATAAATACTTGTAATAAAGACACACTACATTTCAACATTTTTAATACTAACTTGAGAATATATATATATATATATATATATATATATTTAGATATATATATATATATCTATATATATATCTATATATAAAAGAGCTACTTATTTGTATTTTATTTAGTTTGTTGATGTTTTAAAAACAGAAATATGTTCATGCTTTCTGACCCCATCTTCTTTTCATATAAACATATTAACGTATGTACTTAATTCTTTATAAACTAAAACACAACATGTAAGGTCCTGAAATTATATGGGCTAGGGGGCCCTATTTTCTGAGGCAGCCGGCCCAAAGGGACAAAGACACCATGACCTTAGGAGGGGTTTCCTCTTTTTCCCAACTCTGACCAATTTCCTGTTTCCCTTTCTCTCTCTAAAAACTCAGTTCCACTTTTTTCTTCTTCTTGCTCTGACTTCTCTCTACCTTTCCACCACTTTCCACCGCTTTAAATTTCAAATAGGTGGTATTCTTTCGCTCACAGAGTGAGGGCTTCCATTATATCCGATTAGATTTTCATTTGGACAGGTAAGTCAAATTCTCCACTCTTTTTGATATTAGGGCATGCAACTTTACTGGTTGCATAGAGCTCATTTTGATCCTCTGTCTATTATAGCTCTAAGAGTTGTTTTCCATCACCAATTAGGTGGTTGTAGGTCACTGTTTGGACTTTCGCCGAGAAAGCACTATTAGGGCATTCTAGTTGGTTGTACTGTTTGACTTCCAGGTAAGGGGAGCTAGACATTTCTTTTCTGATTTTATTGTATGAGGTGTATGTGTGTTGAAATCGAAACTGCTGTGCTGTTTAAGTTGAGTTTCTAAGTTTGAATGTATAGAATGATATGTGCTAACATGTTCTTATGTGAAACTGTAAATTATGTTATATGACACTGCCTTGTATGTGAATGTTGTATGAACCATGAATTGAGGTTGTGACTGAATTTGGGATTAACCATGTGGTGATGATTAAATATGGTGGAGAGCGTTAATATTGTTATGATGGTCATTTTGGAAGGGACTAAGTAAACTGAGGTAGAGATTTTAGTCATTGTAATTGGGAGTGTGATTGAAGTACTGAAATAATGTAGAGTGGTAAATTGGGACAGGTTGAGAGCACTGTGTTGGTAGGATAGAAGAATCTTAAAAACCTGAGTTGGCACATCCCTGATCATAGAGCAGCCCTGGCCTGGTCCAGTCAGTTGTGACTAGTCATATGTGTTGGCGTCGAAGGTGAGACTGATGCGTTCAGACATCTGATTCTTCTCCGGTGACCAATTGGGCAGTTGGGATAGTTTAGAGGAGTCAATGGAACTGGTGAGGGGTCAGAGAACTGAGTGAGTCTTGAGATAATGGTTGAAATGAGATTGTGTCCATAAGTTGCAGGGATTGATGTTTTAAAAGGTAAAACTGAATTTAATCACTTTAGATTAGTACTGGGGAGGATTTGGATCATCTAGGCAAGACTAATTATGCTTAATAATCGAATTGGAGGTCTTAGAAGTTAGCCAAGAGTCCTGGAAATGGTAAGGATGAGTGTGAGTGAGTGGTTATGTAGAATTCGCATTCTGCCAATTATGCAGTGTCGCTATGCGAGTTGTCTCGCATAGCGAGACCCTGTATAGGGTGCTTACTATTTTGGTAATTCGCTGTGCGAGCTGGTGCGCCGTGCAGGGGGTGATACTCACTATTTTTGGACTCGCCGTGGTGAATCCTGTCGCTATGCGACTGGTGGTGGTCTGGGATCACTGGCCATTTAATTCGAAGGGCGAGTGAGGCGCGTAGCGAGAACTCTAGGGAGGTTGGTCTCTGGTTGGGTTTCCGCATAACGACCTGGGTGCGTTATGCGAGAGGTTGAAGTCTGAGGTGTGTCGCGAATTAATTCGCTATGCGAATTGAGGTGTGCGCTATGCGAGAGTCTCCTGTCTCGCCCTGCGAGTAGGATGCGCTGTGCGAATTCTTTTGGGTTAAACCTTCTCTTTTACTCCCTCTTGATTGATTCTAGTGTGTGAAGTGTTTGGCATGTATAAAATGATTTGATCATGTGATTTATGTGGGATGTGTATAAACTCACTGTGAGAATATGATGGTATCTGGATGTTCATGTTTGGGTTAAGTTTCAAAGTGTCAGTATAGTTCATGAACGTAATTCCATGGTCCTCAAGGAGAGGATACATGGTGGTGCCTGGTGGTGTGTAGAATGATTACATGGTAGCTCAGTCTTGGGGGTTTTCCTGACGCTCCAATGGTCTTTCATTCTAAAGTAGAGAGGATTTATCCATGTGGTGAGGAGTAGCAGGAGGTCCTAGTCTTGGAGGCTTCCAGTATGCTTCAGGGCGCGGAACGGACTAACCTCGTGAGTGTAGTAGGGTGGAACCCATTGGCAACGGCTTTGCAAAGTAGTAGAGGCCACCACGAGTGCATAACCCGCCATAGCTCGGTAATCATTCTGGTCCGGACGAGTCGGTCTATAAAGCAATGAGTCTTGTGATGTCAATGTACCATGTTTGAGTGACTTTTGCATGTCGTGTGTGATTGAATAACATGATTTTTATATCTAGCTCACCCTTGCTTGTTTGTGTGCTTGTGTATGTTTCTTCTTGCGATGATCATCCAATTGGATAGAAGCAGATGGCGAGGAGGTTCCTTTGGAGACAGCTCTGGAAGTTGAGGACAATGCTACTGCCTAGTCTCCTAGGATGCTACTGGTTGATCTTAAATTCTAGGATACTATTTTCCATTTCAGCTTATATTTTATATCTTTTGGAGTTTAAGCTTATTTTCTGAAGCTACTTAGAGGATGATTGTAATCCTATTTACTTTCACTGTTTTCCTATATTATGCATGTGAACGTCTTTATTATATATGCTTTCTATATAATTGGGATGTAACAAATAGCAAGTGAATATTATATTTTTTTTTATTTAGCTTAATTTAAGGAGATTAAAAAATTTTAATTACACATTCACAAATTTATGGAGGTGCATGACTTCTTTCCATTCTCATGATTTTATTTTCTGTTGCGCAAAAAAAAAAGTGAGTTATTTCGTTACAATCTTGGGTTTGTTATCTTCATATTTCCTATTTTCTTCAATTTTTACTTTTAGTTTTTGTTCTTACAAGTTCTGATTTCCTTCAATGTCACCGGATTCTCTTGATTTCAATTCAATATCACCGTGAATTCTATGGAAAGGAATAGTTGCAAAAAAACTTCAATACTCAGTGAATGAAAGTATATTATGATTTATATGAATAAAGAATGACAAATCTTTTATTCATTTAACAACTTTCCAGATTTATATGAATAAATAAATAACGAAATGATAAATTTTTATGAAAAACACAAACTTTCCATTCATTTAACATTTTCATCATAATACAATATAATGAAAACATGGAAGAATCACAATAAAAAAAACTTACACCCTTCAGCATCTACACTACATAACAAGCTACTTAGATACTACATTATGGAATATATTATTTCAATTTTTTCATTCTCATTTATACAACTTATTATTTCTTTTTCCTCAAATAAGGAAATTCTCATTAACATCATCACTAGCTCATCTTCATTATATCAAAAATACAAATCATACCAATGGACACATTCATCCATTTCTTCAATATTTTAACATCATTCTTTATATTAGATATCTTCTTTCTTTATTTCAAAATAGTAAAATATAGTTGGTCATTACCATATTTAATACATATCTAACAAAATCTTTACTTCTACTTTATTATTCAAAAGAAACACAATAAAACATAACCTTATAGTTAGGATAAGGACTAAACAAACCACTATACAAAAGAAAATTTTTATAAATGTTACCTTGTAATTAGGATGATTTCAAAATTATTTTCCTCCATTCTTTACAGTTCTCGATATTTTCAATAGTATAAATTCTCAGCAATTACAAATAGATATTACACCAAAACCTCTAGCCCAACACTACAAGAGGAGAAATACTATGATTTTGCATATCTGACACATTCCATGAACAAGATGAAAATGAAGGAGATCTAACCATAACTCACTTAACACATTGCATTAACAAAAAGATGAAGACGAAAGAGACTTTACTATAACTTACTTGACACATTACATTAACAAGATGAAGATAAAAGAGACCTAATTATAACTGACCTAAAGCATTACAAACTAAAATCTTAAGACAGAGACAATACACCATTAATTCTTAAAAATATGCTAGTCAAGTCACCTCCTCCAATCTTATTAAATATTTAAACATTATGTCATATTTCCATAAGTTGTGTCACTTCAACAAAATCAAAAGAGCATTTACTCTACTTAATGGAGAGAACCAAATAAAACGTTTTTAAAAATTTTCAATGACTAAATTGAACAAATAAAAAACTAAGACTTTTTAAAAATTCGAATGAAATTGAAAAGTCAAATAGGTATTAAGTTTTTATTATATATATATATATATACTGTTGTTCTGTTGTGTTATTTGGGTTTATTAGAAAAAAATTCAATTAAGATGTTAAAGTGGTGAATTATATTTTCACCATTTAGGCACTAGTTAAAACAAAAAAGAAAAAAGGTTGTAATGGTTTAGAGAGAGCAGAAGCTGTGTGGAAGACTCTTTGAGAATCTGAGTACCACACCGGAGAAACCGTGAACACGAATTGTGCAACCGTGAAATATAAAACCCTGCTGCACCATTGCAATGGTAGGACCCAAGCGCCACTTCCTCCCTCTCATTCTCATCTCCCTCGCCGCCTTCATCTTCTACACCTTTAACCACTTCTCTCTCTCGCCAGCCATTGCTGAATCAAACCACAGATCCACTTTCCCAGACCCGATTCCAACCTTAATCCATCCCAATTTCAGTTTTGTTATCAACGTTCTCGCCTTCAACCGCCTCGCCTCACTCTCCCGGTGCTTACGCTCCCTTGCCGCCGCCGACTACCTCGGCGACCGCATCCACCTCCACCTCCACATCGACCACTTCACCTCCGACAAAGCGTCGAGCGTGGACCCTAAGCTCCGTGAGGCACGTCGGATCTTGGAGTTCGTGGACGCGTTCGATTGGAAGTTCGGGGAGAAGGTTGTGCATTACAGGACGGGCAATGTTGGCCTGCAGGCCCAGTGGTTGGAGGCCTGGTGGCCCACTTCCGATCACGAGTTCGCCTTCGTGGTGGAGGATGACTTGGAGGTTTCCTCGCTTTACTATGAGTTCGTTAAGACGGTGATTCTCAATTTCTACTACAACGCCTCCAATTATAGCCCTTCCATCTTCGGGATTTCGTTGCAGCGAGCAAGGTTTGTTCCAGGTACCGATTTCTCTTGTTTGTTTATTCATCTCTGCTTTAATAATATACGTCAGTTATTTTTTGTAGCTGGTGAGGTTTAGTTTACTCGGTAGGCGAATCTGGTTGCTTGTGTCGATTGAAGTCATGTGCTGTTTCGGTTAGATGTATCGTTTAACTTAGTTGATTATTGCTCTCTGTTTTTTCCACATTTGAAATAAATTGTCTTTCGGTTAGATGATGTTATAAAAAGACCCATGCGACACAACCAGGCGAACAACTTTGGCAGATTTGGAACTTGAAAAACTTGCTAGTCTCATGAGTTTATTTTGATTCCACCAACTTCTGAGGTATGAAGAATTCAGAAATGGCTGGAAACTCGTTATGACCATAATCATGATAAAACAATGGATCGTGGCCTTTGTTAAGGAGCAATGCCAGTGCCACCAATCTCAACTTTGGCTTGTGTGTTATCATGATTCTGAAAGTGGATATGATCAACTTAAGATCAGCACAAATTCTTTTCAAATCAACTTCGTGCAGCTTATGTCTATTGTGTTATATGTCTTCAATGCTGTGTCGATTGTGTCGTGTATAACACTCACACGACACGCGTACTTCCCTAAAGTGTTGAATTTAAAAAACATTTGTTTACGGCTCCGATATGGTTCCACTTGAATGCTAATGAGGGCAAACAAAGTCATTTTTTAAGAAGTAGGGAAGTAAAAAACGGTGTAAGTTTCTGTTTTTCCTTTAAAAAACCAACTATCTATTTCACATTTACATTTTGTGTTTCCGCTTCTATTTTTAAATTTCTCTTTAGAAGAATCTAACTTATAGGGTCTTGTTTGATGATAATGATCATCAAGGATTGAAATGTCTTAAAATGAATTAGATTCTCTTTTCACTTTTTAGATTTTATTGTTAGAAGTCCCACATCGACTAGAGNTTGATGTTTTAAAAAACAAATATATTTTAATTCTTATGACCAAATCTTATTTCAGATAAAAAATAATTAAGATGTATTAATTTTATAAATAAAACAAACAGTGTAAGGTCCTGAAAATTATATGGGCTAGGGGCCCTATTTTCTGAGGCAGCCAGGCCCAAAGGGACAAAGACACCATGACCTTAGGAGGGGTTTCCTCTTTTTCCCAACTCTGAACCAATTTCCTGTTTCCCTTTCTCTCTCTAAAAACTCAGTTCCACTTTTCTTCTTCTTGCTCTGACTTCTCTCTACCTTTCCACCACTTTCCACCGCTTAAATTTCAAATAGGTGGTATTCTTTCGCTCACAGAGTTGAGGGCTTCCATTATATCCGATTAGATTTTCATTTGGACAGGTAAGTCAAATTCTCCACTCTTTTTGATATTAGGGCATGCAACTTTACTGGTTGCATAGAGCTCATTTTGATCCTCTGTCTATTATAGCTCTAAGAGTTGTTTTCCATCACCAATTAGGTGGTTGTAGGTCACTGTTTGGACTTTCGCCGAGAAAGCACTATTAGGGCATTCTAGTTGGTTGTACTGTTTGACTTCCAGGTAAGGGGAGCTAGACATTTCTTTTCTGATTTTATTGTATGAGGTGTATGTGTGTTGAAATCTGAACTGCTGTGCTGTTTAAGTTGAGTTTCTAAGTTTGAATGTATAGAATGATATGTGCTAACATGTTCTTATGTGAAACTGTAAATTATGTTATATGACACTGCCTTGTATGTGAATGTTGTATGAACCATGAATTGAGGTTGTGACTGAATTTGGGATTAACCATGTGGTGATGATTAAATATGGTGGAGAGCGTTAATATTGTTATGATGGTCATTTTGGAAGGGACTAAGTAAACTGAGGTAGAGATTTTAGTCATTGTAATTGGGAGTGTGATTGAAGTACTGAAATAGTGTAGAGTGGTAAATTGGGACAGGTTGAGAGCACTGTGTTGGTAGGATAGAAGAATCTTAAAAACCTGAGTTGGCACATCCCTGATCATAGAGCAGCCCTGGCCTGGTCCAGTCAGTTGTGACTAGTCATATGTGTTGGCGTCGAAGGTGAGACTGATGCGTTCAGACATCTGATTCTTCTCCGGTGACCAATTGGGCAGTTGGGATAGTTTAGAGGAGTCAATGGAACTGGTGAGGGGTCAGAGAACTGAGTGAGTCTTGAGATAATGGTTGAAATGAGATTGTGTCCATAAGTTGCAGGGATTGATGTTTTAAAAGGTAAAACTGAATTTAATCACTTTAGATTAGTACTGGGGAGGATTTGGATCATCTAGGCAAGACTAATTACGCTTAATAATCGAATTGGAGGTCTTAGAAGTTAGCCAAGAGTCCTGGAAATGGTAAGGATGAGTGTGAGTGAGTGGTTATGTAGAATTCGCATTCTGCCAATTATGTAGTGTCGCTATGCGAGTTGTCTCGCATAGCGAGACCCTGTATAGGGTGCTTACTGTTTTGGTAATTCGCTGTGCGAGCTGGTGCGCCGTGCGAATTACCAGGGGGTGATACTCACTATTTTTGGACTCGCCGTGGTGAATCCTGTCGCTATGCGACTGGTGGTGGTCTGGGATCACTGGCCATTTAATTCGAAGGGCGAGTGAGGCGCGTAGCGAGAACTCTAGGGAGGTTGGTCTCTGGTTGGGTTTCCGCATAACGACCTGGGTGCGTTATGCGAGAGGTTGAAGTCTGATGTGTGTCGCGAATTGATTCGCTATGCGAATTGAGGTGTGCGCTATGCGAGAGTCTCCTGTCTCGCCCTGCGAGTAGGATGCGCTGTGCGAATTCTTTTGGGTTAAACCTTCTCTTTTACTCCCTCTTGATTGATTCTAGTGTGTGAAGTGTTTGGCATGTATAAAATGATTTGATCATGTGATTTATGTGGGATGTGTATAAACTCACTGTGAGAATATGATGGTATCTGGATGTTCATGTTTGGGTTAAGTTTCAAAGTGTCAGTATAGTTCATGAACGTAATTCCATGGTCCTCAAGGAGAGGATACATGGTGGTGCCTGGTGGTGTGTAGAATGATTACATGGTAGCTCAGTCTTGGGGGTTTTCCTGACGCTCCAATGGTCTTTCATTCTAAAGTAGAGAGGATTTATCCATGTGGTGAGGAGTAGCAGGAGGTCCTAGTCTTGGAGGCTTCCAGTATGCTTCAGGGAGCGGAACGGACTAACCTCGTGAGTGTAGTAGGGTGGAACCCATTGGCAACGGCTTTGCAAAGTAGTAGAGGCCACCACGAGTGCATAACCCGCCATAGCTCGGTAATCATTCTGGTCCAGACGAGTCGGTCTATAAAGCAATGAGTCTTGTGATGTCAATGTACCATGTTTGAGTGACTTTTGCATGTCGTGTGTGATTGAATAACATGATTTTTATATCTAGCTCACCCTTGCTTGTTTGTGTGCTTGTGTATGTTTCTTCTTGCGATGATCATCCAATTGGATAGAAGCAGATGGCGAGGAGGTTCCTTTGGAGACAGCTCTGGAAGTTGAGGACAATGCTACTGCCTAGTCTCCTAGGATGCTACTGGTTGATCTTAAATTCTAGGATACTATTTTCCATTTCAGCTTATATTTTATATCTTTTGGAGTTTAAGCTTATTTTCTGAAGCTACTTAGAGGATGATTGTAATCCTATTTACTTTCACTGTTTTCCTATATTATGCATGTGAACGTCTTTATTATATATGCTTTCTATATAATTGGGATGTAACAAATAGCAAGTGAATATTATATTTTTTTTTATTTAGCTTAATTTAAGGAGATTAAAAAATTTTAATTACACATTCACAAATTTATGGAGGTGCATGACTTCTTTCCATTCTCATGATTTTATTTTCTGTTGCGCAAAAAAAAAAGTGAGTTATTTCGTTACAATCTTGGGTTTGTTATCTTCATATTTCCTATTTTCTTCAATTTTTACTTTTAGTTTTTGTTCTTACAAGTTCTGATTTCCTTCAATGTCACCGGATTCTCTTGATTTCAATTCAATATCACCGTGAATTCTATGGAAAGGAATAGTTGCAAAAAAACTTCAATACTCAGTGAATGAAAGTATATTATGATTTATATGAATAAAGAATGACAAATCTTTTATTCATTTAACAACTTTCCAGATTTATATGAATAAATAAATAACGAAATGATAAATTTTTATGAAAAACACAAACTTTCCATTCATTTAACATTTTCATCATAATACAATATAATGAAAACATGGAAGAATCACAATAAAAAAAACTTACACCCTTCAGCATCTACACTACATAACAAGCTACTTAGATACTACATTATGGAATATAATTATTTCAATTTTTTCATTCTCATTTATACAACTTATTATTTCTTTTTCCTCAAATAAGGAAATTCTCATTAACATCATCACTAGCTCATCTTCATTATATCAAAAATACAAATCATACCAATGGACACATTCATCCATTTCTTCAATATTTTAACATCATTCTTTATATTAGATATCTTCTTTCTTTATTTCAAAATAGTAAAATATAGTTGGTCATTACCATATTTAATACATATCTAACAAAATCTTTACTTCTACTTTATTATTCAAAAGAAACACAATAAAACATAACCTTATAGTTAGGATAAGGACTAAACAAACCACTATACAAAAGAAAATTTTTATAAATGTTACCTTGTAATTAGGATGATTTCAAAATTATTTTCCTCCATTCTTTACAGTTCTCGATATTTTCAATAGTATAAATTCTCAGCAATTACAAATAGATATTACACCAAAACCTCTAGCCCAACACTACAAGAGGAGAAATACTATGATTTTGCATATCTGACACATTACATGAACAAGATGAAAATGAAGGAGATCTAACCATAACTCACTTAACACATTGCATTAACAAAAAGATGAAGACGAAAGAGACTTTACTATAACTTACTTGACACATTACATTAACAAGATGAAGATAAAAGAGACCTAATTATAACTGACCTAAGCATTACAAACTAAAATCTTAAGACAGAGACAATACAGCATTAATTCTTAAAAATATGCTAGTCAAGTCACCTCCTCCAATTTTATTAAATATTTAAACATTATGTCATATTTCCATAAGTCGTGTCACTTCAACAAAATCAAAAGAGCATTTACTCTAATTAATGGAGAGAACCAAATAAAACGTTTTTAAAAAATTTCAATGAATAAATTGAACAAATAAAAAACTAAGACTTTTTAAAAATTCGAATGAAATTGAAAAGTCAAATAAGTATTAAGTTTTTATTATATATATATATATACTGTTGTTCTGTTGTGTTATTTGGGTTTATTAGAAAAAAATTCAATTAAGATGTTAAAGTGGTGAATTATATTTTCACCATTTAGGCACTAGTTAAAACAAAAAAGAAAAAAGGTTGTAATGGTTTAGAGAGAGCAGAAGCTGTGTGGAAGACTCTTTGAGAATCTGAGTACCACACCGGAGAAACCGTGAACACGAATTGTGCAACCGTGAAATATAAAACCCTGCTGCACCATTGCAATGGTAGGACCCAAGCGCCACTTCCTCCCTCTCATTCTCATCTCCCTCGCCGCCTTCATCTTCTACACCTTTAACCACTTCTCTCTCTCGCCAGCCATTGCTGAATCAAACCACAGATCCACTTTCCCAGACCCGATTCCAACCTTAATCCATCCCAATTTCAGTTTTGTTATCAACGTTCTCGCCTTCAACCGCCTCGCCTCACTCTCCCGGTGCTTACGCTCCCTTGCAGCCGCCGACTACCTCGGCGACCGCATCCACCTCCACCTCCACATCGACCACTTCACCTCCGACAAAGCGTCGAGCGTGGACCCTAAGCTCCGTGAGGCACGTCGGATCTTGGAGTTCGTGGACGCGTTCGATTGGAAGTTCGGGGAGAAGGTTGTGCATTACAGGACGGGCAATGTTGGCCTGCAGGCCCAGTGGTTGGAGGCCTGGTGGCCCACTTCCGATCACGAGTTCGCCTTCGTGGTGGAGGATGACTTGGAGGTTTCCTCGCTTTACTATGAGTTCGTTAAGACGGTGATTCTCAATTTCTACTACAACGCCTCCAATTATAGCCCTTCCATCTTCGGGATTTCGTTGCAGCGAGCAAGGTTTGTTCCAGGTACCGATTTCTCTTGTTTGTTTATTCATCTCTGCTTTAATAATATACGTCAGTTATTTTTTGTAGCTGGTGAGGTTTAGTTTACTCGGTAGGCGAATCTGGTTGCTTGTGTCGATTGAAGTCATGTGCTGTTTCGGTTAGATGTATCGTTTAACTTAGTTGATTATTGCTCTCTGTTTTTTCCACATTTGAAATAAATTGTCTTTCGGTTAGATGATGTTATAAAAAGACCCATGCGACACAACCAGGCGAACAACTTTGGCAGATTTGGAACTTGAAAAACTTGCTAGTCTCATGAGTTTATTTTGATTCCACCAACTTCTGAGGTATGAAGAATTCAGAAATGGCTGGAAACTCGTTATGACCATAATCATGATAAAACAATGGATCGTGGCCTTTGTTAAGGAGCAATGCCAGTGCCACCAATCTCAACTTTGGCTTGTGTGTTATCATGATTCTGAAAGTGGATATGATCAACTTAAGATCAGCACAAATTCTTTTCAAATCAACTTCGTGCAGCTTATGTCTATTGTGTTATATGTCTTCAATGCTGTGTCGATTGTGTCGTGTATAACACTCACACGACACGCGTACTTCCCTAAAGTGTTGAATTTAAAAAACATTTGTTTACGGCTCCGATATGGTTCCACTTGAATGCTAATGAGGGCAAACAAAGTCATTTTTTAAGAAGTAGGGAAGTAAAAAACGGTGTAAGTTTCTGTTTTTCCTTTAAAAAACCAACTATCTATTTCACATTTACATTTTGTGTTTCCGCTTCTATTTTTAAATTTCTCTTTAGAAGAATCTAACTTATAGGGTCTTGTTTGATGATAATGATCATCAAGGATTGAAATGTCTTAAAATGAATTAGATTCTCTTTTCACTTTTTAGATTTTATTGTTAGAAGTCCCACATCAACTAGAGATAAGGCCAATTCATAGTTAATAAGTGGGTGCAAACCTCACCCTACAAGTCAGTTTTGTGGGGTTGAATTAGGATTGAAGTCCACTTCTAACATGGTATCAAAGTTATGGTTAGAGCCTATCCTAGCGATATTTGTTGTTTGCTGGGCATATTGTTCCACATGCTATCGTCTCCATGTTAAGAGGTGAATTTCTGTTTAGTACCCAGTTTTAAAAATGTAGACATTAAGTCCTAAAGTTGTTAAAATTGTATGAATAAAGTTTTCTCCATTAAATTGACAGCAACGGTGTTAACTTCGTCTGACGTGGCGTACTTTTTCTCTCTCTTTCCTCTGCTTTTCCTGTAACACCCAGCTTTTTCTGTCTTCTCTCTCTTCTCTCTCTTTTCCAGTAGTATTATTATTAGGCTTCTGTTGTTGATTTTGGGCATGCTGTTTCTGAGAATACAGTACATAACAAAGAATACAAGCACAACATAAAAACATCATCTCAGTGATCCACTTAACCACAACATAGATATTCGGAGAGGCAACCCAGTAGAAGTAGACCTCAGCCGTGGTATGAAAGACGACGAGAAACAATTCATGTTGAAAGGAGAGACCAACATAATTGGAGCCAAGGTCATGGGGGACCTTTGCAGCCATCGACTCCAATGAATAGTCATAACTTGGCTTCTTTTGGAGAGTTTGGATTTAAGTTTCTGAGATCATATTTTACTTGTGTGGAAAATGGCTGTGCCTGCCTTGAATGATTTTTGATAATAGTACTTTACACCTTCATTATGAAGTTGTGGACCAGAACGAGTTTCATTTTAATCCTTTCTCTGTATTCTTTTACTATCAATTCAATAATGTATCATTCTTTCTTCTGGGTATGAGTGTGTTGTGTGCCTTTTAGTCTGTTTGTGAAGGGTTCTTAGAAAGGAACCTAACAAACCGTTAATCCAGAACACACAACACCTTCCCTTTCTCTCGATTCCAACATCTGATTGTCTTCTTTCCATCAATTCCCTGCGATTCTCCCTCTGTGCATTTCAGAAATGAATTCCAACTACGGCCAATCCAACACGAACAAATCCCCCTTCGTTTCCCTCAACAACTTCAATTTCGATTTCGATCTTGGCATCAGATCCAACCATCCCAAGTCCCTCCCAATCTATTTACTTTACAGGTGTTGATCTGAAGAAGATTAAGGACTGTATTGGGGATCCCCATGCAGATGCTTTATCCAGGCGGCGGGATAAAGCATGGTGATGACGTGCTTCTTCTCTGCGCGGTGGCGCTGCCGGAGCTTGGCAGCACTAGAGGGCGAACCTAGCAGAGTATGCGAGGTAGTAGCTGCCCAGGGCGGCAACGATGACGGCGACCTCCTCCCACTAGTTGTGGTGGAGCGGGCCGCACTTGAGAATGAGGGTGTGCCCAAAAATTCAATGTTTGGTGATGGAACTCTGTGGCCGTGAGAGGTTGTAAGAAAAAAATGAGATTGGAAGAGAGAGAGAAAAAAAGCTGAATTGGAGAGAGAAAAAGTTGCACAGCAGAGAGGAGAGAATAGGAAAAGTACGCCACGTTAGCATGGAGTTAATGCTGTTACTGTCAACTTAACGAACATGACCTTATTCATATAATTTTCATAACATAGGGATCCAATGTCTTCATTTTTAAAACCAGGTACTAGAAAGAAATTCACCTCTTAATATGGGGACGAAGTAAGCATTTAAGCCTTTATAAAAATGTTCAATATATATTTGTGTGTCTAGTAGTCGTGCTTAGTAGGCTAATGGTTGTCATAGTAGTTGTACTCTGCTTATTCAATACGCTGTTACTTGTTTATTGATAATATAATTGGTTTCTGACCTCAGGTAAACATGGAAACAAATTACAGTTGGATGACAAGACAAGGCTTTTCTTATACCAGTTAGTTGGCACATGGGGTCAAATTCTCTTTCCAAAGCCATGGAAAGAGTTCAGGCTGTGGTATGAAGAAAACAAGGCAAAGGGCAATCGGCCATTTCTTGAGGGGATGGTAATAAAATGCTTTTAAAGAGAAAAAATATCATGTTCTTTACTCATGTAATTCTCAATTTTGGTCTTTTATACATGTCAGCAGTTCAGTTCATTCCTAATTTTACATCTGAAAATTTTCCAGGTGACTACGGGATGGTATAAGAGATTGGGAGAGAGGATTTGGACACCTTGGTTCATTAAGTTTATTCAGTCCAGGGATTACTTCAATATATACACAAATTTTCTGCATGAGAGAGCATTAAGTGTTTCTTACAGAGATGATGGAGTAAACTATGGGAAAACTGCTGGACCTGATTCTAAATTACTTGAGAAAAGATATATGGACTTCAATATTTTGGAAAAGCAACCTTTGAGTAGTTTAAAATGGTTTGATTTTTGTTTTAGAGAAGTTCATCCTGGAAAGGTTGTCACAAACCTAGAAGAACTTGGATTGTTGCTTCACTATCGGCAGAAGCGGGATAGTGTCTTAGTAAATCTTTTTGGGGTATCGGATGCTATAGCAAGAAACTTACTCTGCCATTTTGAGAGGCTAAATATCAGGAATTACATACTTGTGGGCCCTCCATCTGACTCCTTATTTGATCTGGCAAGGAGGGGACATCATGTAATTAATGTTGACCAATTTTTAAGTAGTGTTGGATTGTATAAACATACTTGGCAAGGTTCAAATTCTGATTCCATCAAGAGTATTTTGGCAAAGATCTATGTAATTAAGAAGTGTATCGAGAATAAATATAACACGTGGGTTATGGATGGGAACATGCTTCTCACTTCAGACCTCTTTTCTGAGTCAGAAAATCCCAATGACGACTTCTTTGTAGCGAACAATTTTGAACTCTTTTATGCTAAAAGCTCATCTTCTAGTGAGAAAATCTGGGTTGATGGATTTGTCTCGAAGATTGTAGCTGAGGTGAAGTCTTTGGCAGGAAAAGATTCAGAAGCCCATTATAGGTTAAGCTTTGTGCACATTGTAACAAAATTATTGGAACAGAAAGGTGCGAGGATTAGAAGAGTTGATGAGAGTTCTTTGGCCACGAAAATTGGCTCTGGTAACGTGAGTGAATCTTTTGGTGATAAAAAGTTGCTATACTGGTCAACTGAGATAGAGCTGGATTCAATTAGTAAATGGTTCAAAGAGTTGAATTTGTGGAATATAGACAATGATTTATCTTGCACCGCGGTGGTCTGTCACAAATCATAGCACTTTATGGCAGTCAGTATTTATACATCTTATTTTTTAACATACAATGAGTTGGCCAAGCATGATGTGCCTGTGAAGCTTGTTATAGACTATGCAATGGCGTATACTATGGATGAGGTTGACATAGTTTTTGTTGGGGCGGATGCAGTTGTTGAAAGTGGTGGTATGATCAACATGATGGAGACTTGCCAAATTGCAATGGTCGCTAAGAGTATGAACAAGCCAGTTTATGGGCTGCTGAAAGCTACTAGGTGCGTTTGCTGGCATCCTTCTGCATAGTAGTTATGATAGTTTAACTCAAATTATTAGTGTTTAACATGGTAATAGTAGTTATATGCCTCCTCAGTATTTCAAAATGCTTTTCACTGATTTAGGTGTTCTTACTCCATCAGTGTTAATGATGAACTCATCGAGTTATACTTGTAGCTATCTCTGTATAATTTTCTTTCTGTTTTAAAATGTTGGTCTCTCTTCAAGATTGTGTCTTGTGAAATAATTGTGTCAAGTACATGCATTAGAATCATGACACCTTCAAATTCAGAATCATGACAGGCTAACTAGATTAACATCAATTTCTCAGGATACTTTTCTGAGTAGATTTTAATAGCATATCCTTGTTTGAAAGTTTTAATAGAGATTCAAAGCTTCTTTTAACCAAATAATATAGTTTGTTAAAACCAGCAACGTGTACACTTAAAATTGATTTTTTTTTCAAAATCATAATTAATTAATAATTTAGAAAAACAGATCAATCCCTTTTTTTTAAGTTTATTACATTTTTTAGATTTAAATTATTTGGCACTTTGAATATATAGAAAACACCACTTCGTAATAAGAGACTATTGTATTAATTTTTAGAATATTGAAAAGTGTACAGGGATAGATATCGATTGAATTTCCGAGTCTAATCTAAATTAGAATAATTGGATTAAAATTAAATTTATATATATTTTTAAAAATGAGTTTGGATTTTTATACAACTTTATTAAGAGTTGTAAAAAGGAAACATAAAATGTTATATATTAGTTAACAGTTAGAGATAAGAAAACATAAAATGAAAGTATAATTTTTTTTTCATTTTTTATTTTTTATTCACACCAAATCAAAGAAATGCATCAAAGACATTACCTAAAGAGTTTGGTACAAGGCATATGTATCTTTTAAGAAAATAAAATGAATAATAGTAGTTGCATAAAAAAGTTTATTGACCGTTAGGGTACGTAAGTAATTTACAGTGATATGTTGTTAAAATGTTTGTAAAATTAGTTTTAGAATTTGGATAATTTAACTTTATTTTTTAATTTTTAAATATAATTAAAGATAAATTAGGAATATAAAAAGAAATCTCGTTGTAAATATTGCTTATAATTATCAATTTAAATTAGTTGAGAAAATAC